ATATATATATATAATGGGACAAGCCAAAGCACAACCCTCAGGTTTTCCAGACCTGGATCAAGATCCAAATGTGTGGCTCGTGCTCACCCCAACTTCTTTTCAAGGAACTCATTCATCAGTGGTGTGGACATTTCCCTGGACTTTATTTTAGCTGCCAGAGATTTTTTGGCATTTTGTAATAAGACTAATTGCAGTTCATGTGAGCCCCAAGGAATGAAGACACTTCTCTGTTTTAAAATTAGTAGCTGTGTCTGCCAAAGTGATGTGCAGAAATATTCTGGAGGGCAGATAGAAAGCTCAATGAGAGTTTCCAAGGCCACACAATGGAGTGCTGACTTTTTCAACTTAGCAAATACTGTTTTCCAAAATGCTTGTCTTCTTTTTATTCCTATGGGGTGCTGCAGTAAAAAGAATCAGAGTGAGCAATTCTTGGACTTAACCACTTGATTTCCTAGGACTCTGATGAGCTTTCATCCCTCTCTTAACTGAACAGCACCTTTTTTCTTCATTGTTTTGAATATTGGCTCCTTGGCTAATAAAATTTTACAAGTGATTTTTGAAAACAAACAATATTATCCCTTTTTTCCAACTCATGAAATAAATATTCCATCAAAGAGACTTTTATGTTTCACAGTGGCAGTTCTCAAATGACCAGCATGGTATCATGTTCAAAACAGGGCACGGTCCATTTTTACAGTAGATTTACTCAATCACAGTTACTAATCGGATTAGTACTGCTTTTATGTCTGACAAATTTTTAAAAGTTGGGGGTCATTAAAGCCCTTGCACATATAGAGAGCCTGTGGTGCTGGGCTGTGATTTTCCAGTTAACCATTTCTGCTTTGACAAAAATCAAACCCTTTTATTTTTTAATATATACATAATACATAAGTTGCTCTTTTAGACCGCAATTCCACCGAGCATTTAGAACCATTGCTCGACTTAGCAAAGCACATGCCTATGTATGGAGTTAAGAAAGAACATCAGTTTGAAGGTAGGAGAGGCTGAGTGCTAGGGAGGGACTCATCCATGCTGCCACCCAAAAGAAAAACTTCCTTTTGCTTTGCTCTTCCAACTCAACCATACACAAGAATGAACCCTGCGAACTGAATCACAGCTTTTGATACTACTTCTTCACAGTTCCTCAGTTCCTGTCAAAAACTTTAATAAAAAATATTATGGTTAGAATTTGCTGTCATGAGCTTGAAAGTGAATTCTCTAAGTTAAGAAGAAACTACATGTACCACCCAAGGGCTAACTTGGCCACTAAAAGACTACAGATTCTACAGATCAACAGAGCTTGCTCGAGGCTGAACTCCGGTGATGTCAGAGGGCTATTTCAGTTCTTGCAGAGGAATAATACAAGCCTTGTTTGGATGCTAGGTGTGCATCTCCCACTCACTCCAGCTGGTCCTAAGAATTGCATAGGAAAACAACTACAAAACTTTTACTCATAGCACTATAGGAAAGTCTAATATCCTCTATCAGACAGTTGGCATAAAGCTCAAGTAGGATTAGACCTGTGTCAAAAAAGGAAGGAGAGAAAGCAGACAGATGTAGAAAACATGTAGAAAATGAAGCCTGAACGTTCAGTTTTTCTGGAAATTCCTCCCTGGAGCTTGAGATGGGAGCATAGAGCATGCAATACCCTTTCCAATAGTTAGTGCAGCATTAAAATAGTTGGAGTAGTTCTGACTGGATCATTGCTGTACAGGCAGAAATGGAATGCAAAATTGATCAAAAGTATACTATATATTCCAGGTGTCATAGAGCACCAAGAGCAATGAACAGTGCCTTCTTTACTTGGATGAAAAAAATCAGAATTTCAGTTTTAAAAGACTACCAAAAGACTACCAAAGGAGCTTTATGCAATTTAATATATGCAAATACTTCCACTGCTGCCTCCTCCAAAGGCATGCAAACAAGCACCTTTCATGCAGTTATTGGAATAGCTTAGTAAGCCTCCAGGGTATAAACAAAGATTAGATTTCTTAATGGATTTTTTTTTCTTAAATAGAATAAGGCATTTAATTTTTTTAACATTAATCAATTACGACAGAATGATTCCAGTAGAAACAGATGCACTAGAATAGAAAATAACTAAAACAAAAAAAATTGAATGAAATATAGTCTATGTTTACACATGTTCTCTATAAATATTAACATCATGAGAAAGTGAATGGGTTACCATCAGCCAAGTCAGGAAATGATCAAATTAAGTTTATACACCATAGCTTAGATTCTGTCCCCTGGGTACATGCATTGCTGTGAGATCTTTGATATGATATCATATGTCATTTTACAAACCATGAAGTGCAGTAGCATGCATTTTTTTAAAATAAATATATAATTCTCATATCAAATACATATACAATGGAGCCTTGCTGCCTATATGTCAACTCTTCTTTGTAAGGAAAAACAAAATAAAAACCTAAAAGCTGAGGTCTCCTTTGCAAGATTGCAAGGCTCTGTTGATCTGTAGAATAACAATGGCATATAAATATAAATCTAGTTTGCTATTTATTAACTGAGCTATTAGGTATTCTGTGGAAGAAATTATTAATGTAATTATGTGTCCCTCTTATGGTCATGATTCATGTTTTCTCAGTGGAAAGCAGGGAAAGGATTTTTCATTTGTTCTATCCCAAATAGTTCATTCCTCAAGAGTTCAGAGCTGAACACCATATGATACCTACAGAAATTGTACAACTATTATTAATTCCTCAGCACCTCACAAATTAGTACAAATAAATGATACAGAGCAACACGCTGACAGAGTTATTCCTTCAAAGAAGAAATAATATCTATTAACATCAGGCTGCTACCATGAAGACACTGCAAAATACTATATAAATTTTGAATAATATATGTCATAAGGTCATATCATAAGGCTTTTCAGCAAAATTAATGCTCAATGACATTTTGCCATTTATAAGCAAAGGTAATGATTGAATTAACAGATAACCCCAATTAGAAAAAAATACTAACTTCAGGCAGTGACACAACACGTCTTCCAAAGGCTATTATTGAACAAGTTGCCAAACAAATGAACAAGACCTCTTGGATAAGTAAGTTTGTTTCAAGGGTTTCAATGAATTGATGTCTATTGTGTTTTGTTGGTACAAGTTCTTCCACATTTTAAACTCCCTTTAAGGCCCCATGTGAGAAAACCAGAACTACTGCACACTGTGATTAAAAGGCAACCTGACATGAATAAATAATAATAACTCCTTAAACCAGGGTATGTTGAGGAATACTGATTGTAATCCTAAAGACTCGGGAACTTTTATTTAGGGGCACAAGGAGTAGGTTTCAGACAGAAAGTCACCAGAATTTAACTGTCTACTTTAAGCCAAGGTCATCTTAAACTTACAGAGTAATCAATGGAGTCAACACAGTCAATGAAGCCAGGAGAGAATTTCACCTAATCCTCAGAGAGATAAACAAGAGGCATTCACTCTCCCAAAGACAGATGTTGAGTCAGATAGGATACTTGGGACAGAACCAAAGGAGGCTGGGCCCAAGACCTACAGAAAATCCTTGCCCTTCAAGAGCAGCAAATGGTGTCCAGGTGAAATATCCTGGAGCAACAAAAATGTCAGTAGATGTACATGATTAGGCAAGGGAATCCCATCTGTACTGGACAGTGAGTTGAAGAGCTCCCTATGGAGTTATAAATTTGTGGACTAGACAGCTAGTGTACATTTGTTTTCACTGGTAAGTTTAGGTAGACACCTAAATCCCATGCATTGTGTAATTTCCAAAAGATGGATGTCCACATACTTCTGATTGACTTAGTAAACTCACTGAGAACAGATAAGAATGTAATCTTAGGAAAAATTATTAGCCAAACAGAACAATGAGGAACCTCAGAGAAGAAAAACACTGAAAGCATTAACTTCAAGCATTTCATGTGTTTAAACTCTTGGCATGTTCCTAGTCACACTGACCCAGTTTATTTATTCTTTTCAAGCAAAAATAAAAAAACAGAATTCCCTGGGCCTATGACAAGAAGACACTAACAGTATTCATCAGAAATATGTGGGGTGAAAGTATTGGCAGTAAAAATTTACTATGAAAATGGTCAAACAATTTGGGCATAAAGAATTACCCTGGGAAGGACTTCATTTCTGGTTCATCTGTTAGATTGTCTTTAACTCAGAGCAGCAAGCCCTAGAGTAGCACAACACTTTTCCATCGGCAGATCAGGAGGAAAAGCATATTTCATGCACACATCACTGACCCAGACCTCTGGCCAAAAGGAAGTGATATTGATGCACTCTGGAGCAGGTTTATCTGACTCTTAATCAGAAAGGCATTAGCCTGACACAAGGGTCAAAGTAGGGAGTATAAAATGCACTCATATAGGAGGGATGTCCGTGATTTCCAGAAAAGGCTTGGAAAAAGAGAGTCTGTGGCATTTCCTCTAATTATTTTTATTACCATGT